CGCGGTATTCAAGCCTGGGATGGATTAGCCTCTGGTCCCTATGTGGTTTCCCCAGAGACAGAGATGTGAGACGGAAGACTGGAAGGGGATCATTACGGAAGCATGGCAGGCCTGGTTTCCCAGAGACCTCACCCATATTATTTTTAAAACCCATTTATTCTTAATTGCCTTGCTCCTGCGCCCTCCCCCATCCTAGAGGCTGAGCAGCTACTGATTTATTAGGGTACATCCCCTCCCCCACTGAGCAGATCTACGCTGGAGGAGCCCAGCATACAAGAGCTTCGGGAAGAGAGTAAGAGCTGGGGAACATGACAGGGGGGCCTCGTCATTCCAGAGCTCAGATCCCAAAGATTTCAGGCCTTCCTCCTGCTTCCACTGATTAGAGACTGGATGAGGACACCTGCCCTAGCATATACAGGAACGAAAGCTGGGCATGGAAGCCGAGGTGCTGGCTGGGAGGACAAAGTGTGGGGAGGTAACAGGATGGATGTATTTTATCTGCTTAGGATTGTGAAAATCACGGGAAGCACATTTGATAGCCTTGATTCCAGGCACATTGTAACAGTCACATTGTGGAGCTATGGCCCTGGCACCTCCCCCCATACGGGAAGAAATTCCTCCCTGCCCAAAACACATGATCCTAGATGTTGGCCTTGAAGATTCTGCCCCACTACCCAACATCAGCACAGGCCGAAAATGCAAGGCAACACCCACATTTGAAAGGGCTGAACTTCAGAGCCAACCCCTCCTCTAGTTTAGGGCTCTGTCCCTCAAGCTCCATCAGGACTGGCACCGCAGCAGCCCCACCCTTCTTCACATTCAATGTTGTTAGATACTTGTGTCCTGGTTTCCTCTTAACTCACTGGAGTTTCCTCTAACCACCCCCCCCAGAGGCCTTATCTCTCCGATTGTCATTCAGGATGGCTGCTTCTCTCCTGACCTGGGCAAACTCCCTGGAGGATATATGACTCTTTCTCCCCTACTGATGTCCTTTCTATAATCTATAATCTGTATAATCAGTTAGGGTCTTTTTTTGTTTTTGTTTTTTGTTTTTGAGACAGGGTTTCTCTGAGTAACTTTGGAGCCTATCCTGGCACTCGCTCTGGAGACCAGGCTGGCCTCAAACTCACAGAGATCCGCCTGCCTCTGCCTCCCCAATGCTGGGATTAAAGGTGTGCGCCACCAACGCCCGCCTCAGATAGGGTCTTATGCCTAGGTCTTCTGTACCTGCCCCCAGACCATGTTGACATGGGGTTACAAAACTCTTTGTCTCTTCCAGGACCTCCTACATCTGTGTCCTCTGGTCCCAGGATCACAGTAGTTCTCTTGACTGCCAGGTTGGGTGCTCTGTTAGGTGATGTTAGGTTCCCTTGGGGAACTGGTCCTACCCAGCCTGTCTGAGACAAGGAAGTGGAGAGTATGAACAGATGGGTTGAGTGGGCATTAATTAGGCCAAGAAGGAAGACCTCTCATGGCAATGACTAGCCCTCTGGACCCCCCATAACGTGCTTGTGCATAGCCAAGGATTCTGGCTGAAGGGACCACTTTGGATGCTCTAACCTCTGGGTCTTTCCCTAAGTCAAGGACTAAAGGAATGAGCAATGACTGGGAAAGGGCTGCTGAACCCCTCCTCTCCCCTCCCCACCTCCAGGGTGTGCATCTCCAGAGTCTTGACTGCTCTGACTTAATCCTTGACCAGAGCAACTTGGACAGTTGATGCTTCTTTGGAGCTCTGGGCCTTTTCTCCTCAGCAACGCCCCCCCCCCCAGGGACTAATACAGAGCTGAGAGGGAGAAGGGCCCAGTAACCTAACCATGAATGCCTCCCTAGGCTCATCTTTGGCACCCTGTACCCAGCCTATTCCTCCTACAAGGCTGTGAAGACCAAAAACGTGAAGGAGTATGTGAGTGGAACAACTTACCTGTTGAACAAACATGGTGGTTGGGGGCACATTTTGTCACATTTGTCATATACAGGTGGGGGTAGGGTGTGGCTTTGTGCCACACTATCCAACAAAACCCTGACCTGAGCAAAAGAGGTTCTGGGATGTTCCCTGTTGGCACCCAGACATGGTATAGTTGACAAATGTGAGGTCCTGGGTATCTTTCCCCAGGACTTCAGTATGGAGCAGGCAGCAATATGGAGTCCTGGGTGTCACTGGTTTAGCCCTGGTATTTGGAGCTGACAGACTGGGGACCTTGGGTGATTACATGTCCACAACCCTGGACCCCAAGTAATGCTGTCCTTTGTCCCTCAGGTAAAGTGGATGATGTACTGGATTGTCTTTGCCTTCTTTACCACAGCTGAGACACTCACGGATATAATCCTGTCCTGGTGAGGCCCAATGTCCCCTCCTGGAATCTCAAGACCCAGACCTCTTCTTTTCTCTAACCAGATAGGTAGAAGATTGGGACCCAGGCTAGAGTCACCCCCAATCCCAACAGTCCCTCAGTTTCCTTAATATACTGCTCTTAAGGCCTGATATCAGCATAGTAAGAACAGACATAGCAAGTCAAGCATGGTGGCACACCCTCTGTTCCCAGCACCTGGGATGCAGGGGCAGGTGGATCTACATAGCGAGTTCCAGACTAGCTGGGACTACACTAGCACAAAGGACAGACAGACAGACAGGACCTCCACGTTTCTTTCTGGTGACAGCCACAGCACCACGTGGTATTCAGTGAGTCTGCATCCGCTCTGTCACCCTCATTGTGACAACAGACAGGTGACCAGTCCCAAAGCTTCATCTTCCCTGTTTGTGGGACAGGCTTAGAGTTCGGTCATGTGGACACTGGATGCTCATATTTCTAAGGCATTGCAGGCACTGATAGGCTTGAAGTGTAGGTGCATTATGGGAACAGGGAATATGTCTGAGTCCACTCGTCTTGAAGAGTACAGTATATGGAATTTGAATCACCTGTAATCCCAGCACTGGGGATCCTAAGACAGGGAGTATCATTGCAGTTTTGAGGCCAACCTGGTTTACATAGTCTCAGGGTAGGGGCAGCGAAGTAGCTCATCAGCAAAGCTCTTGCCACACAAACATGATGCCCTGAGTTTGATCCCTGAAAGCCATGTAAGAGTGGAAGGGGAGAATCAGCCCCATATACGGTCTTCTGACCCCACAGATGCATTATTACAGTAGCCTGCACCCAGCATGCGCGCACACACACACACACACACACACACACACACACACACACACACACACACACACGTGCATGTGCTCGTGCATACTTGTGCACATATCATATACATAATTAAGATTTTTTTAAATTTTATTTATTTTTTATACAACATTCTGCTTCCATGTATATCTGCACACCAGAAGAGGGCACCAGATCTCATAACGGATGGTTGTGAGCCACCATGTGGTTGCTGGGAATTGAACTCAGGACCTCAGTGCTCTTAACCTCTGAGCCATCTCTCCAGCCCTGTAAGGTTTTTTTTGTTTTGGTTTGGTTTTTTTGTTGTTTCTCAAGACAGGGTTTCTCTTGTAGCTTTGGAGCCTACCCTGGCACTCACTCTGGAGACCAGAGAGATCGAACTCACAGAGATCCGCCTGCCTCTGCCTCCTGAGTGCTGGGATTAAAGGCATGCGCCACTAACGCCCGGCTATAATTAAGATTTTTAAGAAGAGGCAATTCCAGCACTCAGGAGACTGATAAACAGAGAGGGGGAGGAGGGAGGCAATAGCTTATTGGCTACAGCCATGTAACTTCGTAAGTCCACTTGCTTTTTTTTAATTCAAAAAAGCATAATTTTTCTTTTTTCCTCCTTCCTTCCTTCTTTCCCCTAGACAGTTTCACTATGTGTCTCAGACTGAGTTGACCTGGAACACTTTTGTAATACAAGTTGGCCTCAGAATTGCAGTGATCCTCCTGCCTCAGCAGCTTTCCAAATGCTAGGATTACAGGTGTACACTGCACCATTATGCCCAACTTTCTCTCTTTAAAAACAAAACAAAACAAAAAAAAACTTACTTTATGTGTATGGGTATTTTGTCTCCATGTATGTATGTCTGTGCACCATGTGTGTGCCTGGTGCAAGAGGAGGTCAGAAGCCGGGCAGTGGTGGTGTACCCTTCAATCCCAGCACTCGGGAGGCAGAGGCAGGCAGATGTCTGAGTTCAAGGCCAGCTTGATCTCCAGAGCGAGTGCCAGGATAGGCTCCAAAGCTACACAGAGAAACCCTTTTAAAAAAAAAAAAAAAAAAAAAAAAAAAAAAAAAAAAGGTTGGAAGACAAAATATTTCATTTGTAGACAAAGCCCTTGTGTTTACCAGCTATGGTTTTAGTAGACAGAGGTAATTTAAAAATTTGTTAAAAGATTCAGGGTGCTAGGTGCTAGGTCTGCATTCCCTGGGTACCAGTGAAGGAGAGGACTTTGATGAGGGCTTTGTGAGGATGTGGAAGACGTGGGAGGTTGTGGCCTGGGCATAAAAGCCTGTTGGAAATGGATATCCCTACCCAAAGTCAGAACTGAAGGCCTATCACTAAACCATATTGGATTTTGGAGTCTGAGGCTAGTGTGAACAACAAAGTGAGACTTCATCTCAAGAAAAAGTTTTCCAGCCAGGTGGTGGTGGCAGGGGCACACACCTTTAATCCCAGCATTCATGAGGCAGATGCAAGCAGAGCTCTGTTTGAGCCCAGTCTGCTCTATAGAGTGAGTTCCAGGATAGCCAGAACTGATACACAGAGAAATCTTGTCTCAAAAAATCAAAAAAAAAAAAAAAAAAAAAAAAAAAGAAAAAGTTTTAATTGAAAAACAGTTGAAGGGCTAGAGAGTTGGCTCAGTGAGTGAAGCTTGCTGTGCAAATACAAGGCCCTAACCAGTCCCCAGAACCCATGTTTAAAAGGTATGATGAGCCAGGTGGTGGTAGCACACGCCTTTAATCCCAGCACTTGGGAGGCAGAGGCAGGCTGATCACTGTGAGTTGGGGGCCCCCCTGGGACTCAAAGAGCTGGTCCCGGACCAGCCTCCAAAGCCACAGAGAAACCCTGTCTCGAAAAAACAACAACAAAAAGGTATGGTGGCCCATGCTTGTAATCTCAGCTCAGGGAAGCAGAGAAAGGTGGACTACTAGGGCTTGTTACTCCAAGTCAGTGAGAGCACTGTTACACACACACACTGACTGACCTCTGTTACACACACACACACACACACACACACACACACACATATGAATGAGCATGTAGCAAGCAAAGCTACTTGGGGAACTGAGTGAGGAAGGAAGACCACAAATCTGAGACCTACCTAGGCAACTTAGTAAAAAATAAAAAGTCAAAGGCTTGCCAAGCATGTTAGAGGTCAACACTGAAATAAGAAAAAGGGCATCCAGACTCCATCCTGGTCCTCCATCATGGAAGGAGGGCAGGATTGGAAGACGGGTGATCGGCACACAGGACTTGGGAAGGAGAGCAGCTTGCTGGGGACAGTCCTTCTGGGATCTCCTTTTCCCATGTCTTATGTGCCCCAGGCTGACCCTGGACTCCTTATATCACTGAAGATGATCCTCCTGCCTCCACTTCCCAGGTGCCTGAGATTTAAGAATGGACCCCCATGTGTGGTCTTTGTTTTATGGTTTGTTTTGAGATAGGGTCTTAGGTAGTCCAGAGTGGCTACAAATTTGTGATCAGTCTGCCAAAAAAGTACAGGGATTCTAGACATGTACCCCAGTTGGGGTCACTTCATTTTTTTTTTTTTTGATTTTATTTATTTATGATTTATGCAGTCTATACAGTCTTCTGCCTGCATGCCAGCAGAGGGCACCAGATCCCATTCAAGGTGGTTGTGAGCCACCATGTGGTTGCTGGGAATTGAACTCAGGACCTCTGGAAGAACAGTCAGTGCTCTCTTAACCGCTGAGCCATCTCTCCAGCCCTGGGGGTCACTTCTTACCTCCCCACATGGAGTCTGTTTAGCACCCCTCTCCCATCCTCCCAGTCCTCACAGAAACCTTACAGGGTGGGAGCTGTCCAAGAGCAGTGCTGATAACTCTCGTGCTCTGCACACACCTCTGTCCTCCCAACAGGTTCCCCTTCTACTTTGAGCTCAAGATTGCTTTTGTGATATGGCTGTTGTCTCCTTACACCAAGGGCTCCAGCGTTCTCTACCGCAAGTTCGTGCATCCTACACTGTCCAACAAGGAAAAGGTTTGCCCCCACCTTCAGCTCCTCCCAGCCTCACTGAGCTGAGGCATTCCCATGCTGTAGCCACAGGCATTTCCTGTGGGTGGCCAGAGCCTGCAGTAACCTTGCAGAGCCTAGCTCCCTGGGGTATGAACAAAGGTAACTTGTCCACAACATTACCTCTCCAGTCTCTCATCCCCCTAGGAGATCGACGAATACATCACACAAGCCCGAGACAAGAGCTATGAGACCATGATGAGGGTGGGCAAGAGGGGCCTGAACTTGGCTGCCAATGCGGCAGTCACGGCGGCTGCCAAGGTGAGCTAGGGATGGGTCAGACTCCTAGGGGCCCCACCTTGTTTATCCCATTGTATCCTATCCAGGCCCCTTGGCATCCACCCTGTCTTCAGGCCTTGGAGACTTTGGGCTGTGCAGCTCCAGGCTCCAGCCCTATTTCTTCTACTGTTTGGTCAATTTCCTCATCTGAGCAAAAGGAAAATATCCCAACACCATGGTAACCTCTATCTCCACCCCGCCCCTCCCTCGTGCTCTCTTGGTGCGTGGTGGTAACCCTAGGGCCAGGGGGTGCTGTCCGAAAAGCTCCGGAGCTTCAGCATGCAAGACCTGACTCTCATTCGAGATGAGGATGCGTTGCCACTGCAGGGGTCAGACGGCCGTCTCCGGCCTGGCCCTGGGGCTCTCCTGGACACCATTGAGGACTTAGGTACTGGCAGACTCTGGGCTGGGGGAAAGACCAGACAGAGAGACCCCTGGGCTCTTATTCTCTTTTCCTCCCCCAAAACTAGAGCTCACTGGCCTGAGTGTAAGGTCTAGCACAAGCCAGGCAGATCCCCGGACAGAGACCTCAGAAGATGACCTGGGAGACAAGGCACCCAAGAGGACCAAATCAATCAAAAAAGTGCCCAAAGCTGAGGTGAGAATACAGGCTGTGGCCTGGGGAGATGGGGATAACGGAGTGAGACCAGGCTGAGCCCTGTCATCCTCTCTACATAGCCAGTGGCATCCAAGACGCTGAAGACTCGGCCCAAGAAGAAGAGTTCTGGAGGGGGTGACTCAGCTTGAGGTCCTCACCTTCCCCCACCCCTCCAGCTGTAGGACAAGCACCGGGAAGAGCTGCAGCCCTAGGCCCTGCTCCACTGTGGGCCTCTAGCTCAAATGTTTCAGACCTGAGAACCCCCTAGATGGCTGTTTCCAGTGCCACCTCCCCATGGACACTCCTCCAGAGGGGTTTGGCAAAGAGGAGGGAGGCACAGTTGCAGGGTGCAGGACAGAAGCTGATGGCTGAGTCCTTGAGGAGGTGGGGGCTCCTTGGCCAGCACTGCTCTTCTCGATGCTCTAGCCCCGCCCCGCCCATCCAGTGCCTTGCTGAAGACCATGGCCATCCCCTTCTCTGGGGCCTGACATGCCTCCACCACTTTTCCTTGAATAGGGGTAGTGGCCACAGTCCAGATAGACCAAGGAGGGGGCCTCAAGGCACCTTGTGAAGGGAAGACATGGGGTAGGTCTGAGGGGGGAGGGTGTTACTCAGGCCCAGCTAGGAGTGGAAGACACAGGCTGTAAATGACCAACATGGCCTTGCCAGAACTGCAACTGGTGGGGCTATGTGGGGTACACCACCAAAAAGAGGTGGCATTCCAAGGGATACATGCTGGGGAGGATGGGTGAAAGTGGTCACTTCCTCCCTACGTCAGCCCTGGTCTTTCTCCCTCTTTATCCACCCCTGCTGGTCTCTGAACCCCCGAGGGTCGAAGCCCTTGACAGAATGAAGCTCCAAGGGGCCTCCCCACTACCCTTCTATCCTTGATCTCTTTTACCCATTCATGCCCCTAGGCTGGGCTCCTCCACTCCTATGGTCCACTGTAGAGGTCCTGCCAAGCTGACCCAGTTCCTCTCCCGTCAAGGGGACCCGG